CTGCTCAAGTAAAAGTTAATAGCTAACCAAAATTAGCAATTAACTGAGAATTCACTGCAGGCCAAAAAAAAAAGTAGTTAACTGAGAATTGGGTACCCCCATTAGCACCCTCTTGTTAGAGTCATGACTGCATGTTTGGTTAAAGTTCTTTCATTAAATAATCTTTTCACTTACAATTTTCCCTTAAAGCGATTATCACAACTATCCATTGCAATATTAATAACAGCACTGTGTAATTTTAATAAATCGTTCAAATAATTAAATGCTGCTTGTTTGCAGTTGTCCTTTAAGTGCCTGAAGAACACCACACCCGTACAAAGTAATGATAAAAACATATTTTGTTTGTTTTCTTCCCATGTCTCCTTGATTTTCATTTTTGACTTGGAATGACTTATAAATACTTTACGTGGCAATATAAACTGATGCCAAAGAGATTTATGCTTAGTAGATGAGTATGAATAATTTCACAAGTTTGGGTGGATAACAGAATTATAAAATTTGATTTTAGTGGAGTCCTCACGCGTGCGAAGGGCGTTCAGCTGAACACTATGGGTTATAAAATTTGGTGATCTATGCATCTAAGAAAATTTGGTAATCAGGTGACCGTACGTCCGTCGACTCGTCCGTCCGCACCACAGGGTAACCTATGTGAAATATCATTTCTATAACCGCATAGCGGGCTCAGACGTCAGCTCATCTAGGTCTCGTGTTTTTGAAGTTTTCCGCTTACCCGGTATTAGCTGCAGTTAATTGATCACAGGCTCAAGTCCAATTATTTTTTAGGAGAAAGACGAATTATCTCGGAGGGCCGCTTTTTAAGTCCAAGCAATTACCACTGCAATGTATTAACTGGAGCTTCGCTTTTAGCTTTGGCTAAATATATGTATTATGCTTTTTTTTGGTGAAACTTGTAGTTGAGAGAGCAATATGTCTTCTGCGAATGAACCTGCATAGTAACACCTAAGAACTTTCTTATATTTTAGCTTATATGATAAAAAAAAATCGATGAAAAATGACTTGGGTAACCTCAGTCTATTCATTAGCTGCATTAGTAAGCGGTTTCAAAACACGCCTGGAGAAAATTTACTAAAGAACAGATAGATCGCATAGACCGTGCCACACGGCCTTGCCTTATGACTGTATATTTACTATCAAGATAAACGCATAAGCTTAAACATGTTTAAAAACTACAAAACTCGCTTACCACTTGCATTGAAAGACAAGATTTCTTCACCTCCTCTGCTTTGTCTGCGACTTACATTAAACTCTCTATTGTGTTCTTCAGCAACTTTTGATCGCAGATCTTTTGTCCACCGGCCCTGAGACATCACAGAGCGAGCGAGGCTCCGAAATCTTTCCAGTGGTGTAATTTTCTTCTCTTCCACTTCGAATCGAAGGTTTTGCTCAATTTCGGCGGATTTTCCCTCTGAGTTCATCGTAGCACGTTGTTTTTTACTGTAGCTAAGTGCCTAAATGACAATTGGAGATTTCTGAAACTAACTGGACATGGGGATAAAAAGAATAGACCTTGTTACATCATAATTCACTTATTGCGCGCGCATAAATAGAACATGTAATTGTCATTCTCGACCCCAGTGCTTGCGGGTTTGGGAATGCGCGCGTAAGCTCTGGGAATCTCTGCGCGCGTAGCCAAAATCTGGCTATTTGGGCTTCACAGCGCATGCTCTTTGATCCAACCAATACTTTTTGCTTCTTTTGTATCCACTTCATCGCGAAAGTCTTGTGCTGCTTCGGTATTAGAACTGAAGAAATTCAGTTAACTTAGCCCTTGAAGAATTTTCGGGTATTCAAGGCTCTTGTGGTAGCTGCTGAGAAAATACTGTTAAACGTTCCCAATCACAGATTTGAGACTTGAAGTTTGCATAAGCTTGACAGTCGATTGAAAATTTGTTTGGACTACTTCACGAGGCGGTAAGTGAAACCCTAATGGCTTGTTAAGATTAACGTATCGAATTTCCAATAAAATTTTCCAAAATATGAATTAAGCGTCCTTTTATTTATGTTTGCTCACATCAGCGAAGCTGCTTTGAAATGCGATATCGTGGGAAAAGGAGACAACTATAAATATCCAGTCGCATTGTACACGCATCACTTCAGGGAACGATTTACTTTTTCTGTTTTTATTTTTTGCAAGTCTGTTTTTGGGCAATTTACGACATGAAGCTCAAGTTTTCATTCATACTCGGCTACTTCGTGTGGATACTATAACGTGGAAGTCAAAGAAAAATCAGCAAAATGTCGGTGTATTTTCATTTCATTTTTCAAGTTCAAATCTTTTTCTGTATCAATTTTCGATATGTCGCTAGGCTACTTAATACTTGAAAATTGGAAAATCCATTAATTCTGTCTAATTGGTCGTGCAACTGTTGTTTTGGAATCGCTAAAATCAAGAATCGGCCGGGCGTGTTTACTACACATTTCTAGGGAAAAACCCGCTCACATGCCAGACACACCGCACGTTCAATCGCTCTCGTGCAAACTTGAATGGACCAATCAGAACACTTTTATTGTTTTTGCCGAAACCAATCAGAGACAATCTTGCTCCAGAGTTCCCCAGAGCTCTTGATCTCTCTCCTCAACATGCGCAGAAGAGCTCTGGGTCGAGATTGATGTAACTATAAAAAAGTTACGTGCGATAGACGCTCAACCTGTAAAACTTAATATTAGCAGTTCAAAGTTTGTACCGTTACAAATTGTACTCGTAATACTACTTGATGATGTTTTTATTCGCCAGTACGTGAGGTAAACAGAAAAAAACGACCCATCTCTGTGTTTTAAAGATCGTGGTAAAAATCCTAGAAAATTGCAAAACTTTATACTCAGCCGTCCGCTGGCGTTTGATAGCTTTTGATAACTTCACTATATTAAAAGGTAGATCATTATACGAGGTTCCGGGAAACTGCCGACCTACCCCACCCCTAAGCCAACATTTTGCCCTAGGTGAGAAGTAAGTGTTAAGAAATTTATAATAAGCTGACGTTTCGAGCGCTACAGACCTTTCTTGTTGACTCTTCGACAAGGAAAAGAAAAAAGCGGTATTGTCTTACAAAAATGCATCCATATCTGCCAGTGTAATGTACATCCGGGACTTCCCTGGCGCAGGAAGTCTAGGGTCATGTGACTTGACGGTGTTGTGTTTTGTAGTATAGTGGTGAGCTTAAAAGTGCCTGTGTTTACTAAACTATGATGGCCCCGGTGGTCCGTTACAAATACTACAGCCAGTAAGGTTTGCTACGCAAGGCGGACTTTTAATCATTGTTAACTTTGCTGATCATTCGATTAACGTAAAAAAAAGGAAAAACTACCAAATGGCAAGCTCGCGCACCTTTAATTAATTTCGTCATAAATCTTTGGAAGGCGGTAGTTTAGAGCTGAATCCAGAAAAGAGAAGCCGACTCGCTCGGAGAGATCGAACGGTTGTGTCTGGTTCAACTTTACCAGGTAAGGTTATTATCTTCTTTGTGTTTGTGAAACATTGGATTAAACGAACGCCGGAGAACTGCTGCAGAGGACCCCGGGTTATATGATCACTGAAGTATACGGAGGCACTGATCTTGACCAATGCGCACATATCAGGGATATTATTTCGGTATTATTTGTTAATAATAAAATTTGGCGAGTCGCAAAGTTCCTCGTTACCCTGAAACTAATCAAAACATACCCTTTTATAGGATTAAAAACAAAACGGAAGAAACTCAATCCAATGACGCGTTCAGCATAACTTCTACAAGTTTTTTCGTAACACGGCCTGGCCATTTTTGTTTGGACTGAGTTTTGACTGCATGGTTTACGTTTTGTGCATACCCTACCACTGAACCTGTACTGTCGCTTTTTAGCCCAGTTCGAATTCCTTAACGAAATTTTTTAGGCTCTGGCGTGACGTGTTTTTTATTTTTATGGGATGACAAGGGTTTGTGTTATCGTCCTTAAATGGAAAATACAAAAAACGGATCTTCTGAGATACCAGATTCTATGAAAAAAGATAGAACTACGGCTAAGAATAAGAGTCCCGTAATGTGGCTTCAAAGTTTATGAGATAGTAACATTCATTTATTAATAATAAGATTATAAGATACAACTACGGCTAAGAATGAGAATCCCTGATGTGGCTTCAAGAATATTTCGTTGTACGTTCGTTGTGAGCGGAGTCGTCTTTTGTCTTGTTGAGCGAGTTGAAGAAAAGGAAGCTCTGTTTGAATCGCGTTAAAACTTTGAGGAATTTTGGACTAGTCAATCTTCTTTTCTCTTTTTAAATTTGTTTTGAGTGTGAGCATCCATGATCTCCCTTCTTCTCTTTCTTACCCTCCCCTCCCCCCTTTAGCATCCATTTATTAATAAACTGATGATCTTAACTGAGCCCCTGCGCCTGGGTTTGAAACTGTATCTTAGCAACATGCAGCGCATGCTCAACAAAGATCTTACTTGACTCACAGGGGCGGACGGAGGATTTTTTGACAGAGGGGGCTTAGAGATATAGTATACAGTGGCAATATGGGCGCGATAGCACCTATCAGGCCTGCGAACAGCGCACGTTTCTAGGGAGTTTCGGGCGCATGCTCCTCCTGCAAAATTTTGAGATTGACGTTCTCTGACATGCAATCTAGTGCATTCTGGATGCTTAAATTTAGGTTTGAAGTTAGTTTATAGGGGCGGTTGATTCGAACAAAATTCGATAAATTTTCTAATTAAATATGTGTTTTAAAGAAAATTTATTCAAATAACAAAGCTTAAAGTACCATCTGACAAACATTTACAAAAGAAAAAAAATTCCCGGACAAAAGGGGGGGCGGGGCCTCCTTGGCCCATCCCTAAATCCGCCCTTGATTCAGGCAGAGTCTTTCTGGAGCCCACCACAATTGAGCAAGCGAAAGACAGTCTCATTTGGCAGGGTGAATTATGTAGATGAAACAGGGAAGTAGTAAATGACTGTCCCATTAAAGTTTGGTACTATTTGTGATTTAGGGACTTGAAGGATAAGAATGAAGGATAAGAAGAAGTCTGCCACTGATGTACGAAAGAGTCCGCGAAGAGCCAGTGGTGTTACGAACCCATTTCTTCTACCTGACTTTGACGAGGAAAATTTTGATCCCAGCGCCGAACAAGCTCGGAGTGCTAAAGAAGTTACGACAGCGCCGTCCACACTATGGCAGAAACAAGCCAAAGGGGGTGTGAGTTTCAAAAAAGTGGCAAAGGCCATCACTAAACAAAGAAAATGGTCTTCTATACTTAAGGTGATAGAACAGTTTAGCGTTATAAATGCTTTCAATTATGTGAATTTACTACCGAGTCTAGATTGGCTCATAACTGCTGCATTTAACCGATCAGTAATAAAAGCAAAGTCGACAATGATTTTCTCAATCTCGGATTACGCAGTCCCTGCCGGTTTAATGTTGCTTTGAGTCTTTGATTAGCTTTTCGACAAAACACTTCAAAACACCAGTCATAGAGTATATATCTAGCCGACTGTTTGAAAACCACACCAGCTGGCAACTCTAAGAGGCAACACAGCTTAACTTGACTTGAATAAAGTTACTATTGTAAAGAAACTCAGCTCTTACCCATAAGCCTTCTAAGGTGACTCTCTTCTTACTTCCTGATTAGCAAAGAAATATTCAAGTCTGTCAGAAAGACACTCTCATCTTGAAGACTTTTTCTTGAAAGTATATTCCGATCTCTGTTCTGATGGACGCGACTCCGGGAAAAAAGGCTGAGATTTGGGCGTGTTACTGAAAGGGGAGAAACGAGTAAAACGGAAAGGAGAAAAGAAAAATACTGGAACCACTTGTACTGACTACTTCCTATCGTCTAAGTATTTCTACTCAACAAATTGTCAACCCTTGAATCATCCCCATAAACTAGAGCACTTTAGTATCATGTTTCGCTGCTGTTTTGTTTAATAACACGTTCATAACACGTGTAGGATGTCCGGCAGTCAGATGACCACACCCGAGCTCGAGGCTTTGTTGCTAAGACTGAAGATGGCGAGGGAAGACTCAGCTTTAATGTAAATGGTACGTACGTAAGACTTTTAACTATGAAAATGATAATAATAATCGATAATAATATTGATAATTGATATTGATAATGATCAAGATCATCGATAATGATAATAACTGACAGAAAAATGGCTGCGGCCTACAGTATACTGAAGATTAGTTTTACCCCCTCTCTTCGTCAATTCTCCGTCTTATGGGTTTTGAAGTGGAAGCTACACTCATAAGTACACGACAAGGAGAGAAATCGAAACAAACTCGGATTTGAGGTCTAACCTGGAAATCGACCTCGGAATCGCCCGGACAGAAAAGCCGAACAGTTACCGACTGTCCTATTAATTATTGCTCCTTTGACTTCTTGTAAGTACAAACACAACATGTACTATTGGAATTGGTTTTCTTTCATTTTTTAAGCCTTCAAGCCTCATGTCCAATCGTGTGGATCGCTGCCGCCTTCCATAAAGACAACACTACGAAAGTTTTCCTGGAACAGAACGGACGAAGAAATCGAAGTAGTTCTGCAGGTTGTAAAGAAACTGAAATGTTTTGACCGATATCCCATGTACGTCAAACGAGAATTAGCCAGAGTATTGTACTACGACATGTTCGAAAAGGGAAGAGTTGTTATAAAGCAAGGTAAGAGGATTGACAATGTAGAGAAAGTATCAATTTGCCCCATGTTAGGGAAACCAAGACAGTCTTAGATTCTGGATTCCACACCGTGGATTCCAGATTCCAGGTATATTGGATTCCGGATTTTTTGTCAGTGGAACTTGATTACAATCTTTAGCGGGATTCCGGATCGTTTGAACTGTATTCCAGATTCCAAACCCGAGGATTGCGTACTCCACAAGCAAAAATGTTCCAGATTAGCATACCAGAAGCAAACATTTTCCAGACTTTCCTGAATCCGGATTCCTTCACGTGGGGCGAGACAATATTGCGTCTTCTAGACATATTAGGGAGCTTAAGCAGCGACGTTTTTGAGCGACGCACGTCAACCGGAAGTGAGGTATTTTCCCTCTTAACATGCCTTGATGATATAAAATTTGTATTCCTTAGCTTCTTTACTGTTATAGAGGCGATTTGACTAAAAATTTGCGCGAAACCACCGTCAAAAAATGAAAAAAGGCCACTTCCGGTTGACGTGCGTCGCTCAAAAACGTTGTTGCTTAAGCTCCCTATTAGGCTGATTCAGCAACAGAACGGGAACGTCAGTTGACGACGGCGCGCGCAAATCAAACAACTGGCTTGATCAATAGTAGAGCGGCAAATTGGGCACAGGAAGTCGAGTTTAGTCCTTTCCACGCGCTTTCCCGTCGTCAAATGACGTTCTCAAACTCATTAATAATTCATAAAGAAAATTCAAAGGAAATTAATGTTTAATAAGTGTTTGGATATCAGATGAAAAACTGCTCATTTTTGCATCCTTAATTTCTCCTTCAAAACGATTTTGTTTGAGAAGAAATATCAAACATTCGACACAGTGTTTCATCACCAGATGAAACACCTCGAAGTTCGTCAAAAATACTCCGCTGCGCGTCGTATTTTCAACTCTCTTCTCGTTGTTTCATCTGGTGATGAAACACTGCATCTCATGTTTGATATATTACTTCCCGTTCTGTTGCTAAATCAGCCTATTGTTCCATCCTGGAAGAAACAAGACGACGTTTGCCATCCCTTTTTGGTCTTGCTTTCAGGACATGCTGGTATATCATTCTACTTCATAGTCTCAGGTTCGGTGATGGTAGAGCGAATGGAAGAAGACAGACACACTGGCGAGCAACACAAACAGGTTATATAAATCAGTATAAGTAGGACTTCTGCTTGTTGCTGTACTGTGCTGTACTTAATTCTTCACCGTTTTCCCATTTCTCACGAAAAGATTTGTTTGCGCCCCAAATTTTTGCCATTATAAGCACTGTTTTCAATTTTCTCTCAGGAGTTAAGAGCAAGAGAAAATTGAAAACAGTGCTTATAATGGCAAAAATTTGGGGCGCAAACCGTTTTTATGCTAGAGACGTTAAAGTCAGCGTCAAGATGCATTTAACGTCGGAGACGTTTTAAAAAGTCGACTTGTGTGAAAACTAGCTCTTAAAAGTAGACGACAACAGTGAAAATAAAAAAAAGCCTTTAAAAAAAAAAAGACACTGACTCTTCTCAGTCATTTCTGGACGAGTTGGGCATAAATACGCATGCGTCCCAATTTACGGCGTCCAATTTTTCTACTAGAAAAGCGCATTTAAAGTCTGAACGACGCGGGCGTTGAAATCGTCAGACGTTACACGCGACTGTCTTATTGACTGACCCTTTTCGTACTAGATGTTTAAGTCTTGCTAAGACGACTTTAATGTCTCAGTCGGCTCAAACGTCTCTAGAATAAAAACGATGAATCGCAACTGAACCATTAACCCATCTACACCAGGTTGTTGGCGAGATGTCGGCAGGAGATGCTTTTGGTGAGCTGGCTTTACTTCATAACATTAGACGAACAGCGACAATCATATGTAAAGCAGACTCAGAATTCTTAAGAGTTGATAAACCAGACTTTGATGAGGTTAGTTAATTCTTTATTCTTAATTCCGTCCTTTTTTGCCGGAAAAGACCTTAAAAACTAATTAATTTACTCGTTCTTTTTTTGACGAGCATGTCACCTTATGTTAGACTTTCATCGACTTTCGCACTCGCAAAAGAAAAGAGCGCCTGATCGTTGTTGCCATAACTAAAGAAACCTGAAATTATGTCGAAAAACACGTGTAATAAATTGGTTTAACCGCCGGCGTATTTTCCGAAAATACCTTGTAGGCAATGGCTATTCACCAAACTTCAAACGAATGATGGCGTTCATTATCCTTCTGGATAAACACTCAATTTTCCGGGGAAGCCGTGGTTAGTTGTTTGTTTTTTTTGCAGGTACTGCGAAACAGTCATCAAATCGAATGGGAGAGAAAGTTGTCAGTGCTCAATTCACAGCCGGTCTTGAAACACTGGGCCAGTATAGAGACTCGCTCAACAGTTACACACACAAAACTTAGAGAATATCCTCCAAATGCGGTAAGTTCTTACAGCATGCAAGGAGCCCAATAGCGAGACCGCTTTTAACTTATTCACATTCTTTCGTGCAGATCTAATCCAGTCAGAAGCCGGCTGGAAACTGTTTTCGACTTCTGATTGGTTAATGTCTACATGAAAGAATGTGAATTGATTAAAAGAGGTCAAACTTTTAGGCTCCTTGTTGTAACACTGACCACGATAAATAAATTAAGCTAGCGTTTGAGCAACTGGTCGTTTCCTGGTTTTGTAAGAACTTCCTAGCGATCAACCATAGTAAATCTCAATCCATCGTCTTCAATAGAGCAACTCTACAACGCCCTTTGTTATTGACAGCAATGAACTGGATTACGTTCCACAGATCAAGCTCCTTGGTGTAATTATCGACAATTCACTCTCTTTTAAAGCACATATTAAAGAAATTTGCCGGAAAGTGAACACAAAAGTTTCAATTCTTCGTCGCATTCGTAAACTTATACCCTCAGATATTATGATTAAACTGTACAAAGCATTTATTCTGCCTCACTTTGAATACGCATCACCATTGTTCATAGGTCTAAGTAAAGGTTTGTCTGCAAAACTAGAGTCAACCAATGCATTTGCTCTTAGGACTCTTCTTAACTACTCCAAGTCGACTGCTTATGAAGAGCTACTTAAAACTGTACATATCAAAAGCTTGGAACATCGACGCATAGAACAAGCACTGATACTTGTATACAATAGCATTTATAACCAGGCACCGAACTACATTCGGGAAATGTTTTTACTGCGAAGCAATGGTTACAGCCTACGGGGCCATCTTAAGGTTGTTCTTCCAAGACCGACCTCATCTTATATGCAACATTCTTTCACGTACCAGGCTGGCAAACAATGGAACAGTCTACCAGACAAAATAAGGATGTCGGAGTCCCTCTCTATCTTTAGGAAAAACTTACAAAACATACAGTTGTCTTCATCGTATGACTGCAACTGTGAATTTTGTAAATAGACAATCTGAGTACCAATATTTTTTCTTTTTAAATTATTATTATCTTTTAGTTGGTTTAATTTTTCTATTTTTTATTTTTATTCATTACTTGTACGTGTAGATTATGTAAATTGTCACGTTGTAATTTTTATGGCACATTTGCATTTAAACGAGCTATCGCTCATATGCGATATGTGGTTAAATAAAATTACTTACTTACTTACTTACTTACTTAACTACGTGTGAACTCAACTGACGGGCAGAGCCTTGTTCGACTGCAAAAAATTAAACTTCAGAAAATTGTAGGGAATTATTGGATAAGCTTGGAAAATTATACATGAAGGGAACGTTCATCTAGAAATTTTTCGCTGTCCTCAAGCAAAAGAAAATTGAGGCAATTATTTGCTTCTCAGAACAGATATTTTACAGAAAACAGTCGTTGTGTGCCCTTGGTATTCTGAAGTTGCTTACCCACCACGCACCCCGTTATATTTGTCATTTTATACTTTGAGCTCATTCTAATTGTAGCTGATTGTTGGCGATATCGATGGTCCCGCAGAAAACGTGTTTTTCATTCAATCTGGGAAGTGTAAGGTTGTGAGAGAAATAACCATCATCCGCTCAACTTCCACTTCCGGTAAAACAAAGCTTAAACTTCCGCCCATCGACTTCACTGAGGGAGACAGCGAAGGCAACAAAACAGACAAAGTTGTCAAGAAATATCTGACCATTCACGTGTTGAAGGAAGGAGATTTCTTTGGAGTAGGAGAGGATTTAAAGAAAACATACATCATATCCGTTGGAAGGGTAAGCATGGAAACAGGGCGCTTCGATACAAAGTCATCTCGTTACAAAGTCGTTTCGATACAAGTCGTTTTTATACGACCTCAAACACCGAAATAACAAGTAAAACATTGACCAACACTTGGCGCGAGTATTCTACTTTCTTTAAAGCAAGTATGTAACACTACAATTTATTTACGCCTCGTCTGAATAAACTTGCATCAAAACAACTTTGTATCGAAACGAAGAGTAACCGTAAGCACGGGTAACAGTGGACGAACGAAACTACATGTAGAACAACTAAGGATTATGTGCACTGGTAAGTAGTTTTGCTGCACAATGCATGCAACATCAAAAACAACGAACTTCGATGTGAGAATAAGCACTGTCTGCAACCAGCGAAGCTACATTTTGTATTTGAGGTGAATAGTGTATCAAATACAGATGGGTTCAAAGCTTCCTAAGTTAACAGCGATTTTTGTTAAATAAAAAAATGACACAGAAAGAAGGTAAAACAGCTAAGAACTAACACACATAAAAGTGACAAAAAATAAATTGCAATCAACACATGTCAGTTACCAGAATGAGAGGTTTGGGAGCTATTTTAGACGATATTTTGATATTTTTACCCTTGTATTCTAACCAACCTCTAGATGCCAAAAAAATGATTGATGGCAGGGGTTTTGGGGGTATTTCAGGCCATATTTGCCCTCTGCGAAAAACCACTTGATGCAAAAAAATAAAAAAATAAGAAAATAAATAATAATAATAATAATAAAACAATTGTCAAATTGCTAGAGTGTTTTAAACTCCACAGGTTCACTGTGTGCTGATCAGTCAACCTATTTTCATGAAAAAAGAGAGAGGAAGGACTTTGGAAACACTCAAACAAAAGCTCAGTGATGCATTCCTGACGCAGAAACAGGCATTCAAGTTCTACATTGAAGACAGAAACTGGAAGATTTACAAAAAGAAACTTGTAGATGATATTATAAAACGCCGAAAGAGACCACATTGTACAACATTTGATGACGTACCCGTTGTGGTTAGAAATGATAATGCACATTACTTTGAAAAATATGACTGAAACAAGTACAGCATCTATTTTTATGAATTGAAGAATACAAATAATAGTAATAATAGTATCACACAAAATTTAAACTGATTAATATACACTGTACAGTGAAAGCTACCTTAAACAGATCCCACATTAAATGAACACCCTATATTAACCAGATACGTTTTTTCTGAGTCCAAAGCTTTTCTTCTCATATTACCTTTCTCAAACAGAATCTGCTAATACTGTAGTGTATGCACACAACGTTAAGAGTCTTGAACATGTCTGCAGAGCATGGTCTCACTTTCAATCACCTGAGAATGCCTCACGGAACAAGATATGTGTGGTAACTTCTGTCATCTTTTTCAACACTGGGCAAGTTACGCCGCTTATGCACATCACAGGTCTTCTGCACTTCTTTCCATCTGAGTTATTTGCTCTGGCAAATCTTACTAGGATTTCTTGAGATTTGTCCATCACTGTAGTCCTCCTAAATGTGACCTCAGAAAGTGTGCCCCTTTCTAATAAAAAGACAATACAGTAAAACAAGAAGAATAAAGATATTTTATTATCTTCATTAACCCTCCCCCCCCCCAACCCATATGTGAGTGGTTGTAGATAAACGGAA